ATTAAGAAAACCATCAGCCAATTGGATCAGTTGTCTGGCCTCTTCCGCCTATGTCTCTCCTTGTCCTTCTCATCTTCCTTATCTAGATCCTTCTTTTCCACATTACTATTCTGTAACTCAAACAAATCCATGTATTTTCTTTCCATATCTTCACTTTAGTCACTGGTGTCAGATGGTCACTCAGTGGCATCGCATGCTCCCCAAATTGTAAAACTTGTAAGGGCACAGTATTATAACCCATGTCCAGAACTGAAGGGGACGGTCAAACACCCACACCAGCAGCCAGAGTTACCGGGGCTGGAACTATAGGTTGTGTGAATAGTGCAGCCCATCCACACAAATGGGCACTCGTATAGGGCCATGAAACACTAGGAGCTCCAAAAGTCTCTGTGGTATATGTTGGATAGAGTGGCGAAGTAAATTGGCCACTACCAGGCCAAGGCCACACTGGCAGTGATGATGATGAGCTGGGTGCAGAGGCTAAACCAGTCCCTGGCCAAGGCCAAGCTGAAAATCATATGGAAGTGTCGGGTGTAGGTGCTTGCCCCATGCCTGGCCTAGGCCACACATGGAACAGCTGTGAAGTGTCGTGTGCTGTAGGAGACTCACCTGCAGGGGCATCACAGCAGGCTCCTCCATGCCATCTATGTCTTCCTGACCAGCTTCCCTTGTTGTCTTCTGCCCAAAGCCAGTGTACTGGACACTGCATAATTGAAGTAGACCTGCTGTTGTCTGTGTCCCGATGTGATGCCAGTATCGTCGTCCCCTCAGCTTCCTTTCCGGCTGTGCCTTCCATGTGCTGTTCAGCTTCTAAAACGGCAAACCTAGTCATTAGGTTGTCTGCCAGAGCCTTAAGCTTAGCTCTGTAGTGACCTTTGGAGTCCCTAGCTGACCAGCGCAGCTGGTCCTCACTGGACTGAAGGGATGCCCTAGCCATTCTGGCAGCTTCAAAAGCAGTGATCTTATCTTGGAGTTGTTGCCAGATGGGCCATGAGTCCTCGTCTGAAGAAGACTGGGGTGGGGAAACCTGAAGCGGTGGCCGCTTCTTGGCAGGTTGTTTCCCTTTTTTATTACCTTGCCCCTTCCTTGAGGCCATTGCACCACCATAATTCAATCCGAATTACAAAAGAATGGCTACAGGACTTCATCCCTTTACTCATGACACAATATCCTATTCCACTTGATGCCTGAATAGGAGCCAGCTATATACCCACTATTACTGAAAACAACACTTATTTAATAATTATTCAACTATTATGAAGGTACCACTATTATTATTAATTAATGAAAACTATACTCGCTCCATTATAAATGATTAACTAATTACCCTACCACATATATATGCAATTAACTCCTAAGGACCCAATACAATTAACTAATTGATTACTTCACTATGACTGAATGTATTCCGAAACAATACTACTCTAATTAATTAGTGT